ACTAGTTTGGGTGGTTCTGGAGTTGTGCTTCCTTGCAAAATCGATCAAGTCAGGCTCAGGGGAGTGTTAGCCCTCTTCCTCACAAGCCCAGGGCCTCTATCTAATTTAGTTAGCAGTGTTTTTCCTGGTCAGGCATCCTTGCGAGACACACTCAGCTGTGGAGTGAAGCTTCTGGGGTTGGAAGGAAGTTCATTGTGATCTGAGCCATCTCCTTGACTGTCAAGTGGCAAACAATGACGTTAAAAACTTAAATTCCATTCAGTTAGATGCCTTTTTTAGAACACCAGAAGAAAGCTTTTGCCTTTCAGTTTGGCTGGAAGTATTCTTAAGCACACCGAAAGCCGAATCACACCCCTTTGCTTTTGATGTGAATGCACTCTCTTTTTGCAGGAGCAAGAGGCTTTGCTGAAGGATGGATTCCAGAAAGAAGCAAATCGACTAAATGGGGAGATTAATCAGCTGAGACAAGAGACTGAAAATATCAAGAAGCAATCTAGGTTAGCCGAGGCGTTGGGTGGTCTGGTAGAAGGTGCCTCGCTTTTTTTGCCTGGTACTCGCCCAAAAATTCTTGGATTGATGGCTTCTGACTTAGTGAAGCGCTTGTGATCAAGCAGGAAAAGGCCTACAGATCAGTTACATTTGTCGTGAGACACTGGTAGTCTGCAGTAAAGGGTTGGGAAGAAAAGGAGGGGGGCGGTAGGGGTGGGTGGGAAAGCTTATGTTCTTTTACTTAGTGTATGCGTAGGGTTTTTGTGTCAGCATCACTTGGGTAGGTTCTCTTTCTATTCACTTGTTTTGTTTCCTTGGTGGTGAGAGAGGTTGGAGTGGCCTAGGGTCTGGATGATTGTCTTTGGTTAGCTGCAGTAGGATTTGTTTTTTTTTTTGGGGGGGGTTGTTGGGTTAAGTTAGTCATATTGAATTGTATGCTGTCGGTGGATTCGTGTTGTTGTCGTCTTTTTGGGCTTTGTATATGATAAAGGGGAGCCATCCTGGAGTGAAGGCATCCTCTTCTATTTCTCCCTGTGTCAGTTTCAGTTTCAGTTTATTGATTAACTTTTCTAGTAAGGCTGTTTCCCATACTACTTGATACAAGTGTTCCATGTTTATTCCTGACAGGTCCCTCCAGTGTCTGCCTATGAAGTTTCTGGCTGCTGAGAGTAGGTGGGCTATGAGCTCTTTATAGTGTGAGTGGGCATTGCTATCTTGGAAGATGTTTAGTAGGGCCAGTTCTGGGGTGACTTCTAGTACCTGTTTAGTTATTTTGCTTCTTTCTTGTATGGCTGCTGTCCAGAAGATTTGGGTTTTGGGGCATTCCCACCACATGTGGAAGTATGTGCCTGTGGAGGTCCAGCCTCTCCAGCATTTTGGCGAGGTTCCTGGGCGTATCAGCACCAGTTTCTGTGGTGTGAGGTACCATCTGTATATTGTATATTGTGGATACCATCCCCTTGCTATGTTCTGTTGTTAGGAGAAGGTTTTCGAAGGTGGTCAAGGGCCTAGTAGCTGTTGATTTTATTGCTGGATTGTTTAAGAAGGCGTGTAGTTGGTGGTGTGTTAGCCAGGGCATTTGGGTGTCCCCTAGTTTAGCTTCTGTTGTTCCCTGACACACCCACATATTAATATATTTGCCAGGATCCCCGTCCCCACCCCCCATCGGAACTGACACTTCCTTTTTCTTCTTCCCTGACATTTGTATTATTAAGTTAATAAGCAAAAAGGAAGCTGTAAAAAAATTCCACTTGCGAGTGGGAGGCAAGAATGTCTTCCAAGAGTGTATTGAAGATGCAGATTGTGTGCAGATTTCCTTGAACACCTTAAAATGGTGCTGTATTTGTCAAAGGCAACCTCTTTACGAAGCTAGTTAGCTACTTGCATGCCTGTTGCCTACGAAGAACTTTTTGCCATACAGTGTCTCAGGTCACACCAAAGCCACTATCACAAAGAAAGCTGCTGTGTTGATGTAGCCTGAGTGCCATATTGCAGTATTAGCAGAGTGATGCTTACCACAGACTTGACCTGAAAATGTGGTTGGGTGCAGATTGTAAGCGCATGGAAGCTAACAAATTTGACCGTCACATCTGAGGGTAGGTTTAATTGCTGGATTTAAAATATGCCTGTTTGCTTTGATCTTGTACTGTACACTTGTTGTTTTTTATGTGAATAAACGTCTGGCAAAATAATAAAATAATTCTGGAGTTCACAACATTGCATTTTTAATTGTGTGTTTCATTAAATTTTCTTGTGGCGTGGGAGAAGAGGTGGCTTATTTATTTATTTAACTTTTTTCTCCCAAGGAATTCAAGGTGGCTTACTCCTCACTGAATCTCCACAACAGCCCTGTGAGGTTGGTTAGGCTGTGGGAGGCTTTGAATGCCCCATGGTCATCACTCAAGCGTCGTGGTCATGTGGGGATTTGAACCCTGTCTCCCAGGTCCTTGTCCAACACTCTTAACCACTATGCCAGCCTGGACAAAGGTGTACAATATCCACAAAAATGTCATGCTATCTGAATTTGCTTTTTGTAACAGCCCTGTGCCCCAAATCCTACTTATAGGCCCCAGCACCTGTTTTCCAGTCAGTCAGGAGCACAGAGTCTGCTGGAGAAACCCTGGCCTGATAGAAAGTCTCAAATCTCACATGCAATGGGGACAGAGTTTGAAACCAGGGTTGACTCCCAATCTGCAAAAGGTGAGAAGGAGTTTCTGCACCAAGGCGAAGTTGAGTTATATCGGGAGCAGCAAAGTGGGAGGGTAAGACATAGGGCTTGTGCACAGCAGAGCAAAAGGTTCTTTAGCTCGTAAGTTTCTTGTTCTAGCCAAAGGCCACGACTAACTTGTATTAGTATTAAGAAAATAATACAGAACATATGTCCATAATATAAAAATTCATAATATAAAAAATGACTTTGCCAAGTTCCTGAGCGTTAACCTTCTGCATCCCTGACAGCTCCAATTCTGATATTATTTTGCCTTTTTAAAATTCAGTTTGCCAACATCCACTGTACTGGCATTTTCTCCCATTATGAGATCCTGTTGGTCTGCACCAAATGCGGTTGCCTTATACTCTTCTAGGCTGTAAGTGCTGTGAAGATCAGCAGCTGTCCTCCTCCAATGGGGCCTGGGAGTGGGTGCAAGTGTGCACCTTATCTCTCCTGTGGCCACAGAGTAAGGTTCATGGAGGTTTCAAGGCGTAGGCGGTCCTTGTGGCTGAGCCAAATACATTTCATGTCTCGAGAGTGATGTCTCGTGTCAATTCCTCATTATAAGTTGGCTATATGAGGATGCCCTCACTATACGGATAAACATATAAAGATTTAAAGCTACAATAAGCCTTGAAACCAGGAAGTGCCAATTACTGGCCATATGTGGTAATATATCCAGCAATACATATAATCATTGCTGTGGTTTATTTTTGTCCCACTTTTATTGTGCTAAAGCTCCTCCAGGCAGCAATAATGTGGAAGCACTAGGAAGCAGAGCAGAACATATCTGTCACTAATGCACTCTTACAGTGTAGAGAGCACATTGCAGGATACACCCACAAATAAAACACCAGTCAGGGAGGGGGGAACCTGAAGACCCCATATCTGATAAGGTTGACATATTTCAAACTGAAAATCTCGACAGAAAAGTTGTTGAGCTTTTCTTGGCAAAACAAAATGCTGTTTTTGAGCTATCTTTATGGGGAAACGGCACTGTCGACTTAGGTATTCCAGATAAAGTAGTACCTTGGTTTAAGAACAGCTTAGTTTATGAACAACTTGGATCAAGAAAGCTGCAAACCTGGAAGTAGGTGTTTTGGTTTGTGAACTTTGCCTTGGAAGCAGAACATGTTGAGTGTATTCCATTTGGAAACTTGAGTTCCCCGCTGCTATGGGAAAGCACACCTTGGTTTAAGAACGCTTTGGTTTAAGAACACACTTCCGAAATGGATTACGTTCGTCAACTAAGCAGTGTTTCCCAACCTTGTGCCTCCAGCTGTTTTTGAACTACAACTCCCATCATCCCTGACTAGCAAGACCAGTGGCAAGGGATGATGGGAATTGTAGGCCAAAAACAGCTGGAGGCACAAGGTTGGGAAACACTGAACTAAGGTACCACTATATGTCAGCCAAGTTCACCCTCAATTACCAAATCTTCTGGAAAACTCAAGTTCACATACCAATTTGTGACATTTGGGCTAGCTTAGAGGGACGCGGGTGGCGCTGTGGGTTAAACCACAGAGCCTAGGACTTGCTGATCAGAAGGTTGGCGGTTTGAATCCCCGTGCGGGGTGAGCTCCCGTTGCTCGGTCCCTGCTCCTGCCAACCTAGCAGTTCGAAAGCACTTCAAAGTGCAAGTAGATAAATAGGTACCGCTCCAGCGAGAAGGTAAACGGCGTTTCCGTGCGCTGCTCTGGTTCGCCAGTAATGGCTTAGTCATGCTGGCCACATGACCTGGAAGCTGTACGCCGGCTCCCTCGGCCAATAAAGCAAGATGAGCGCCGCAACCCCAGAGTCGGCCACAACTGGACCTAATGGTCAGGGGTCCCTTTACCTTTACTAATAGAAGTATTGCCAGGTACATATTTTGGCATTTTTCAGAACAGGTATTTGGGCACTTCCCACAAACTATCTCCAGAACCGTTTCTCAGACCTCTGGACTCTCCTTCTTGGAGGTTTTTAAAGAGAGCTTGGCTGTCCATCTGCCATGGCTGCTTTAGCGAGATTCCTGCATTGCAGGGTGGGTGGGTGGGTGTTTGAACTAGACGATCCTCAGGGTCCCCTCCAACTCCACCATTCGATTATTCTTACGCACGCTCAAAGCCCATCCTCGCACATGTCACTGCCTGAAGTGGGACTGCAAATGGTGCCTTTCCACCACTCAGACCAAAGGCCAATCAAGTTCATTTGGCCCCTGAGGCAGAAAAATCTCACAAATGCCTTTCCCCCACCGTGGAGGGAACGACCTAACCACTCGATGCCCAGGCCCCCCACTCCCGGGGCAACGCACACAAACGAGTCATTTTGCGAAGGAATTTATTCGGTTTGGGATCAAAGTGCTGCAAGGGGAATTCAGAAAAAAGTCCCTATTTTTGTCTGGAGACGGGAGGGTTCTTCCTCGTCTTCACGGTTGCCAGGCAGATCTATGTCGAGCCGGGCGTGAGAAGCGCTGATTTCCTGGAATCGCTCGCTTAAGAAGAAAAGAGGCAGACGGGTGCCTGCTTTCACTTTCGGTCCTCCGCTCTCTCGCCACCCAGACAGGCCAATCTCACGTTCCCGCCCAACCCGCCCCCTTGGTCAGGAAGCGGCGCGTTGTTGGCGGCGCCCATGAGGCTGGATGCAGCATCCTCTTCTCAGGAGATGGAACAGGTCCAGGCAGCTGGGATTCAGGAGCATTTTGCCGCCTTTGGCCCCCTTCTACGTGGTCTCGTCCTCCTTTAAAGCCATATCCAAATCGGTGGCCGTCATTGCCTCCCGCGGCAGTGAGTTCCACGGTTTATCTATGCGTTGCCCGAAGAAGCATTTCCTCTTAATCTTCCAACATTCAGCTTCGTAGGGATGTCCACGAGTTCTGGGGTTATGAGAAAGGGTGGAAAACGTGTCTCTATCCGCTCTCTCCATGCCATGCGTAATTTTGCAAACTTCTAGCACGACTCCCCTCACCCGCCCTTTGTCTAAAGCCGTGGTTCCCAACGTGGGGCACACGCCACACAGGGGGGCAATTTGATTTTTAAGGGGGTGCATTTTGAGAACGATTTATTAACACTTTTAGAATAATACGAATTGTATGTCGGGGGGGCACCAGGATTTTAGAGATGCTTACGTGGGGCATGGCCAAAAAAAGGTTGTGAACCACCGGTCTAAAGTAAAATAAAAATAAAAATCATGCAGGGCAGGTTTGCAATGCCTGAACTTTGCTCCCTGGTGGACAAAATGGTGAAATAGTTTTGGGGTTGTAACCAGAAGTAGATTATGGGGGGGGGGCTCAAATAATTTCTGAACGTGGCTCTGTCCAGATTTTGCTGGACTCCTGCCTGTCCCGGCCAGGATAACTAACTGTAAGGGGGGGCGGGAATGAACTCCCGAGACCAAAACATGGGGGGGGACCGCTGGGTTGCAAAAAAAGGGGGGAATTCTGCTCGAGGAAATCTCTGGGCGTCTCTGCCTTGACTTTGGAGCCTCGCCCTCTGCTCCGCCCGCCCGGTGCTACCTTACATTGGGCGCGGGCTGGCGCTCGTAACCGTCGGAGGCTGAGCTGCTGCGCCGTCCTCGCGAAACGAGCCCGATTTCCTCGCCGTCTCCTTCGAGGTTTTGCTTGCACTTGTCTTGCTGCTGCTGCTGCTGCGGCTAGCGCTGGATCTTTGCAGAGGTGAAATCGCCAGACAGAGAATAAAGGGAAGAGGGGCGCTTTCCAAGAAAGAGATCCAGAACTGGTAACCCGAGCCTTCCGGGAAGAAGGTGCTGTCAAGGCGCTGGAATTTGGTCGGGGAGGGTGGGAAAGTGGACGGGGGTGATTTTGTGGGAAAGCAACTGGCAGGCAGGGGAAGGGTTAAGTCAGCCTTTCCGCGGCCCTCCCCCCAATCTTTGCAAGGGCGAAATCGGAAGTGCGCAGTTCTTTAGAAAAGGGTTTAAAGTGAACTTTGCTCTCCCATGCTAATACAGTAAATCTATCAATAGACAAACCATCTGTGTCTACCCTGAAATGGGCTCCACTGTATTCAGCGGGACATTCCCGTGTAAATGTATATGGGAGTAATGTGTAAGCATTCTACACAGTCCTTACTTCTGTATACATACATATATATAGAGAGAGAGAGAGAGCGAGCGGATTGCACTGGAAGGCTGTAAGCCTGAACACACTTTGTATTCCCTCCTTGAAAGCAGTGGGCCTTACTTCTGAGTAAGCTTTGCAAGGTTCCTGCTGTCAATCCGCAAATCTGATTCACTGGTAGAATTGTATTGGAAGGAAAACCTGGACTCTATAAAAAAAAATGTTTCTGTGTTATGACAGCACATGCCTCTGATAAAGATCTTAAAACCCCTTCCCTTTTTCTAGTTTGATTTTGTAACATATATCAGATTGGAAGAGTGTATTTTATTGTATTAATAAAATGGTATGTTTGACTCATGTACTGTACTTAAAAAAAAAGGCCTGCATATTGGATCAATTTCCTCCCAAAATCAGTTTAAAAGGTTGTAATTCTATACACAGCCCTCCCGCTATTAGATCAGCAATGTGGAAAAAAATGTTAATTATTTTTAGTGTCGGTACATAAAATAAAAGGTGGCAGTCATTCACCTTCAAAAAATAGGCATTTGCTCTTCTGTCTCTTCTGCTATGATAAAAAGAAGGAAATGTTTTAACTTCCAGCCAACCCAATGTATTTACACTACTGGGCATGGTGCATAGCAACAGGGCCTTCTTAAGTATATCTGACACTGTGGTGCAAAGATCCCTCCAGCAAGGAAGAGGCGGAGGCTCCAGGCGGTGCTGCTTCAACGAGATGGGCGAGGGCAGTGAGCTGACGCAGGGAGGCGCCGTGTCCAGCCTCAGCCTCTTCCCTGGCGTCCTGTGCATAGCAAGTAACCCCCCAACACCACCTTTGGCTTTCAGTGTCAGCATCTGATGCCAAGGACCTCGAGCTTCTAGAACAGGTGTAGACTTGTCACAGCTATCCTGAGAATGGTGATCTGGGCAACGTGATCTGTGCTGTTCCTAACGTCTTGCCCTGCCAAGTCAGGTTTCACTTATTCACTCACTCCAGGGTTTCCAGCTGTTGTTGGACTACAAATCCCATCATCTCCGGCTAGGAGGACCAGTGGTCAGGGATGATGGGAACTGTAGTCCCAAAACAGCTGGAGACCCAAGTTTGGGAAATGCTGGCTCACTAATAGGCAGAGACACACTTGAGTTTCCACTGTGTTGTGAGCTTCTCTGTTTTCCTTTTGCAGACCCATCATCTTTTGCACGATGGCCCCAGGGCAGGTCCACATGGCGGCTCCTGTTTGCCTAATTGAGAACATGCCAGACGGGAAGCTTGTGGTGAACCGGGAGGCTGCAGAGGTGCTTGCCGGGATCTGCCAGCCAGTGGTGGTGGTGGCCATTGCGGGGTTGTACCGCACTGGCAAGTCCTATCTCATGAACAGGCTTGCCGGCAAGAGAAAAGGTGACTGGCTTCATGAATAATCCCCGTTATTCAAGGGAAGGGCTGGAGTCTAGTAGCTTTGCATGAGGCCTCTTTGGAGCAGGGGCAGACTTCAATAATATTTTGGCCTCCCTGAGCGAGGCTAAAATTTGGCGCCCCAAAACAGATCTTCTCAATTCTGGAGCTTCACAATTTTGCACCCCTTCGGTTCATTGCCCTGTGCAGGGGAACCACTTTCACCACCCTTAATCCAGCACTGTTTGGAGCAAAGCAATGACGTCTGCTACAGCTGGAATCGGCTTTCAGGGCCTCTGGGTTTTCTGCCTAGCCTAGGGGGAAACAGAGAGACAGAGGAGTAATGGCTGTGGTGGAATACTTATCAATGTGCATGGTGCATTTCAGATAAAATGGTCAGTAGGTCCCTGCCCTGGGGAGCTTCCAGTCTAAATTTCAACAGGCGAGAGTAATAAGGAGCATCAATATAAGTAAATGGGGTTACACACACTTGGCTTCTTTCCCAACATATCTACTTTGTTTCTTGTGGGATACATATTCTGGGTTTAAGCCAAAATAGCCTAGGGAGTAAAGTGATCTTGCAGCCTGATCCTCAGAAGTGAGCCTCGTTGGGTTCAATGAGGCTAAATCCCGAGGAACTGCAAAGGATCAAAGCCTTGGGAGCTCTCATTTTCTTGTTGGGAATCATTGTCTGCTCCTTCCTCAGGTTTCTGTCTGGGTACCACAGTGCAGGCGCAGACCAAGGGAATCTGGATGTGGTGCCTCCCTCATCCCAAGAGGCCTGACTTCACCCTGGTGTTACTGGACACAGAAGGGTTGGGTGATGTGCAGAAGGTGAGCTGGGGGAGATGGCAGCTGGGGGGGGGGCTGTGGAGGACTAGCACTTTCAAAAGAGCCTCGTGACAAAATACATTGAGCTGGTGGCCAGCAGTGGGGGATGATATCTATGTGAATTATCTGACATCCCTGTGTCACACATTTGGGAATGTCTTTGTATCTCAGAAACAGCCGTACCTGGAAGTCAAATGGAATCCTGCACCCAATCAGAAGCTGCGGTCGCCATGCCGGACGTTCGGCTTCCGAAAATCATTAAAAAACCCAGAACATTCACTTCCAGTTTTCAATCGTTCAGGAACTGAAACTTTTGAGTTTACAGGTGTTCAGCTTCCAAGGTTCCACTGTAGTAGGAAGAAGTAAGATTCTGGAGGGGGGGAATCTTTTAAAACCCTATGGCTAATCTTTATTAAAATGTAGAAACCAGAGAGGTCTTGGTGCAGGTGGTCAGTGGATGGGACACTGATGGAAGCCCACAATATTATATTATTATTTCAACCTTCAGCACATTTTATGTATGAATGTATAAAAACAGAGGCAATCAAGGGAGCTTTCAAAATGAATAAGGACACGGTATCACTATTAATCAAGAAATATGAACCAATCTGTAAAAACATATATAATTTTGACAGTCAATACATTGAATTAACACCCAAAAGAGCCAAGATTAAGAACAGAAAATGCTGTGTAGCAGATAAATTCGAAGCTGCTGAAGAAGAAGATTTATCAGGTGACAGTAAAGGGGGCAAAATAACCAAACTTCTGTGAGTTCAGCATTCTGCGTCCCATAGGAGAAAGGTCCTTTTCTTACTTCCTTGCTAGCCAAACATGGGAAGGTAAAGGGGTCTGCTCTTACTTTCAGGACCACATAAATGGGACCCATGTCTCTGTATGTGTGTGTGTGTGTGAGAGAGAGAGAGAATGAGACAGGATGCTGCACAGAGAGAAAGCACTATGCCAGAGGTTTTCAACCTTTTTGAGTCCACTGCTCCCTTGACCAAGTATATTATTTCTGTAGCACCCTAGTGGGGCTCATGAGCCCAGTTATATCACCCCTTGGCCTGCAGAACTGGCAGCCCCACACCCCTTTTCACACACCCTCCCTTGTGGGAACACCCTCCCTCAGCCTATCTCTTCTCCTGTCTCGTTGGGAGTCCTCTGGGCAGCTGCTGCCCCTGGTCTCTGAGTTGCCCCCCTGTCCTCACACTGCCCCACAGGGGCTTGGGAAGGACCCCATGGCCAGTCCCAGAGGCACCATTCGCCTGGGGAGCTTGTAGCCAGGGCTGCTGCAACAAGCAGATGTGCAAGCCTTTGGGAGGCAGGGACTTGAGAGGGCATCAGAGGAGGGAGGGAAGGAATGCGGGACAGAGGCCAGGGTTGCCTGCAGCACTCCTGACCATCATTCAAGGTTGAAAACCACTGCACTATGCAACCCTGTCATGCTGGAAATTTTTGCCAATACAACCATAATCCGTTCTGGAGGTCCTTTTGTAAACCAAAACAGGTTGTAACCCAAAGTGTTCTTTTGCCAATGGGGCCTCGAATTTTTTTTTGTTCGCAATCCAAAAACAACAACAACCCACACAACACCATGGGTTGTAAACAAACAAAAAAAAAAGGTTGCAAACCTTTTTTTTTTGACGTTTGACGTGTTTGTAATCCAAAACGTATGCAAACCAAGATGTATGCAAACCAAGGTACCACTGTATCCACTTTGGGGTCTAGTTCTGTGCCCTTTTGACAGCTTCCCCCAACTGACTTTTGCTGTGGGTCAGCAGTTCTTCATAGTCAAAAAGGTTCCTTACTCTTGCCTCAGGAGCTAGAAGCTGGCTTTGACATTTTAAGTAAAAATGTGCTTGATTCCTCTGCCCAATACCAAATTCTGATACAAGCCCACTTTGGGGGCTGTGTGCAGGGTTGAGCGGCACGATATACACAGTAATATAAAATAAATAAATATGCTTTAGCTCTTCCTGGGGCACGTGCCCACAGTTGTGAAATGCGCACAACTGCTAAGCACCACAAGCCTTCCAAATGCAGTCTGAACAACGAGGCTTGGGATGAGAAGTTTTTTTTTTTTTTTAAATGCCTGTATCTGTTTCAGGGAGGCATGGAGAATGATTCCTGGATCTTTGCCCTGGCCATTCTTCTCAGCAGCACCCTGGTGTATAACAGCATGGGCACCATTGACGAAACGGCCGTGGAGAAGCTCCAGTATCCTTTTGGGGGCACCATCAGTTCCAACCAGCCCCACAAGATTGGGAAGGCAGGACCATTCCTTGGGGGGGGGGGGAGAAAGCTTTTGGTATAGTTGCAAGTGGAGCAAACCTTCCCTTTCCAGGTCTGCCTTGGAACACAAAGTGCTGGGGGAGTGCAGGGGGGGGGGCAAGGAAACATGCAGGGCATGTAGCTGATGAGGGTGGGGCAGGCAGCCTGCCAAGGATCAAGTGAGCAGGTCACTGGGGCAGGGCAGGGATGGGGAGCCTGTGATCTTCCAGGTGTTGCTGGACTCCAACTCCCATCAGCCCCAGGATGGGAGTTGTTTGCTCAGCCACATCTGGAGGGCCAAATGTCCACCCATCCCTGGGTTTGTGCTTTCGGAATGAATAGATGAGGGTCAGACCACCCATGAACTCAACTGGATAGTTGAGTATAGGGTCCTCATTCTCCACAAAAAAACCCCACCACAAGCACCTGCCTGGTGTCCCAATCCAGAACAGGACTTCAGTACGGAGGAGCCAAGGGCTTTAACCGGTTACCCCTGCTGTGGTCCTGAATCAGATTGGATCAGGATCTGGGTGCGAAAAGCCTGGAAAAGAGGAGACCGAGAGGAGATACTAAAGCCATCTTCAGATCTCTCAAGGGCTGTCACACGGAAGAGGGGACAACCTTGTTTTCTCCGGCTCCAGAGGCTAGGACCCGAACCAGTGGATTCAGGTTACAAGAAAGGAGATTCCGACTTAACATCAGGAAGAACTTTCTGTCTGTCAGAGCTCTTTGACAGTGGAACTGTCTCCCTCACGAGGTTATAGACTCTCCTTCCTTGGATGTTTTTAAGCATCTGTCAAGCATTTAGCTGAGTTTCCGGCATTGCAGGGGGTTGGACTAGATGACCTTTGGGGTCCCATCCCAGCTCAATGATTCTATGATTCTATGGCATATCACAATTTGCATGGCAAAAAGGCACCATTGAAATGACTTGGATCTTTGCCCCACTTTATTTTGCAGTGGTTATTGCAGGTATGAGGCTCCTGGTCAAGACTGGGATTGCAGGGAGAGCAAAGGGTTAAATTTCTCCTGTCCCAGGATCCTGATCTGTATCTCTCACACTGCACTGACAATTTGTTACAGATAGGTAGCCGTGTTGGTCTGGCATAGTCAAAATAAAAAAATTCCTTCCAGTAGCACCTTAAAGACCAACTAAGTTAGTCTCTGTTCAAAGCTGTTTTACTACAAAGGAATTTCAGAAATAGACTGGAAAGAGAAGCTGCTGAATTGCAACTCATTACCAAACTTAAAACCATGGAGAGACCTGGTCTGAACAGAGACATTGGATTCTTATCTCATTATACATGACTAAGCC